GGCCCAGAACCCGAGAAGAAATGGGACCCCTTCCTTGCCCGTTGATTTGAGCATTGATGCGACTCTCATCGCTGTGCCCTCTTCAACACTACGCTCTCTCAGCTATCTAATCACTCGCCACGTATTGAACTACGGCGAGTGATCAGATGATCGGTGGGCGTGACACGGCCAACCGCGCCAAGATTGAGCCTTACTAGGTCGCCGAAGTCAACTCCTTCGTGCCAATTGCGCGTCAAGTGTGCACCCTCAGGAGGTATGCGGGTCCCTCAACCAGGTGAATTACCTTCTTCGACATCCTACTAATCGAGAATTTTCTAGATGTGGCGGCATTTACTGCCGTTGGCTGATGTGCTGGGCCAGAAGTGAGCAAATGTGTGTTTTGAGAACACTGCAGCCATGGTACTGTAGAATAGTTATTAATTGTAAGTTTATACATGCTCAGAATTGAAATTGTGACTACATACAATATCCTACTATATATAATTCGCTAAGTATGTCTGTGTGTGTGTGTGTGTGTTGTCACGAAATTCATAGCGCGCTTCGCTGCAACAGTGGAGCGCTGTATTTTGAGTATGTTGTAGGGGTGGGACGGGAACATATTTGGTGGGGGACCAAAGTGATAACGACTGATAAGATCCGATAAGAGGCGCCAAAACGCCAATTCACGATATCCATAGCGCGCGTCCCAGCATCAGTGAGGCGTTGGTTCCAAGAAGTGATGTGACGGGAACATCTTTGGTGGGGGACCAAAGTGATAACGACTGATAAGATCCGATAAGAGGCGCCAAAACGCCAATTCCACGATATCCATAGCGCGCGTCCCAGCATCAGTGAGGCGTTGGTTCCAAGAAGTGATGTAGGGTAGGACGGGAACATATTGGTGGGGGAAGAAAGTGATAACGGCTGATAAGGGCCGATAATAACGATATGCGCAAGAATATAGAGGTCACTCAAAACCAGACTTTAGATAAAGCATTTCATTTCAATATTCTTTCATTTGCGTTGTTATCATCAGCCCGAAATACCACTAGACCGCTATGCTCCCAGTTCCTAAAAATGTATGGTGGATGTTCGGAGAAATACGATAACGAGTGCTGGATGTTTTTATTTTAACATCACACACAATCCGACCGCTAAATTACACTGACATTCGATGCATGGTGGTTGTTTACAGACACCACTTTAGCTCCGCACTCCACTGCGCGTATCAAACGGTGAGCTTCTGCAAAGATGAGCAGCCTATGGAGCGGTCAGCTAACGCATTTTACGAAGCAACTCAATGTTTAGCGGTGAATCTGACGCTTTATCGGCTGTCCTGTTGAGCCTTCCGTTCCATGCGCGCGGTAGACTTTTACCGATAGAAGCGCCAAGAGACCAATTCCACGATATCCATAGCGCGCGTCCCGCATCAGTGATGCGTTGGTTCAGAGAGGTGATGTAGAGGGTAGGACGGGAACATTTTTGGTGGGGGACATGAAGTGATAACGACTGATCCAACGACTCTTCGCGCTAAACTGAATTTCTTAAATGGTTGGCGTGTGTGATACGGTAACTATTGGTGTTCCCATCTCATGAGAAGTCATTCAATTGCTTAACCATCCCATTGTCTAGAGCATGGCAGATGTTTACGCTGGGTTTACAATACGGCATACGCAACATAAGGGCGGAAGTGGTGTAGTGACAAGTGGCGCGCTTCACCACGCGAGCGGTCCGGGATCAAATCCTGGGTCGTGAGTCGCCCGGGCCAACCAAGCCTTCCATCCCTCCGGGGTCGGTTAATTGGTACCAGACTTGTCTGGGAGGATAAAAACACTGACTTGTACATCGGCTGGCCCCCGCAAGTCATTGTATAGGCCACATCGCATTCAAACGCCACTGCGAATGTACAAATGGAAGTAGAATGCGTGCCGCATCCCAAAAAGGGATTGATCAACGGCAAATGCTTTATCCTTTATCCTTTTAACGAATTCGTATAAAGTGAATCAGCGGCCTCATTCGGCTGCTAGGCCCTTCGTTAGTTCCCGGGAACACACTGTGGTTTATTGGTATGGACAAACTATGAAATTAATGCTTTATCTTCTGATTTCTTTAATACCATCAGTCGAATCCATTGAAAGCCGCATGTCATTCAATTTAATAGTTCGACTATTCTCAGTTTCACTGAAGCCTATATTGACATGCGCGTGATTGCTGATACTAATCAGAACTGATAAGGGGCGCCAGAGCGCAATATCGCGAAACTCCAGTGTCCCAATACGATGTAAAGGGTGGGATAAGAGCAGGTCGAGAGGGTGACGACGAAAACGTGGTAACAAATGATAACTTTTGATAAAGAAATTCGCCTTAAAATTGAGACTGTTTGTTATCAATGGTAATTATGTGACTGTTGGAAAGTAAAGCATTTAATACACCGCCACAGATCTGCTTGGTTTCTTGAAAAATGTTTTATGGTTATGTTGTAGCGATACAATCAGCACTGGCGATTTCTATTTTTATCCAGTTAGTCTCAAAGACTACCTCGCGGTAAACTACCCTGACATCTTCATAATGATGGATGTTCTGGAGACTCTGATTGACTGTTACCTTGGGCACATCAACTAAGCTCTTTCAAAGCTATCCGGATGTTGTGGGCAAAAACCGGTGACTCGGTTGTGGGAAATGTGAGAGAACTCGGGAACTGATGGTAAATATTGAGAAAGGGCATTCTCAGCAAGTGTAAGAAGAACTGTTGCATATATATTCTGTGGGTAGAGCAACCACCAAGAGCGTTACAGAATATAGAAAGTGACGTAGGCAGATGGAGCACTTTTGTCATCTAATAGACCTTCAAGTTTTTACAAAAGGCCATTGCACTCCAAGTATAGGATGATTCCAATCAATTGCAGCTGCGATGTTATCCTACTAATACTATGTATAATTCGCTAAGTATGTCTGTGTGTGTGTGCGTCTGTTTGTCACGAAATTCATAGCTCGAGTCACAGTAACGATAGCGCAGTGGTTCTTACATATGTTATAGGGGGTTGGGATGGGGACACAAGTGGTATGTGATAGGAACTGATAACGACTGATAATAGCTGATAAGAGGGGCTAGAAAGCGAGCATCGCCAATTTCGTTTTGTCGTTCATATTGGTACTAGAGCGTCTATACTTACAAGTGTTATGTGGGGTGGTCCCGGGACATTGGTGGTACATGACTGAAAGCGATAGCAACTGATAAGGGCTGATAAGATGCGTTAGAACAAAAGTCGTCGATTCCGTTACCTGGCTCGCATTGACACCAGAGCAACCATACTCACAAGTGTTATGTGGGGTGGGACGGGGACATTGTTGGTGGGTGATTGAAAGTGATTGCAACTGATAAGGGCTGATAAGGCGCGTCAGAACGCAAAAGTCGTCAATTCCCGTTGCGCCGCTCGCATTGACACCAGAGCGTCCATACTTACAAGTGGTGGATGGGCCGGGACATTGGTGGTACATGACTGAAAGCGATAGCAACTGATAAGAGCTGATAAGGCGCGTCAGAACACAAAGTCGTCAACTGCGTCACGTGACTCGCGTTGTCATTAGAGCGTCCCTACTTACGAAGCTCTATTTGTAGTGGTACGTGCACATTGTATCATGATGACACCTTCACTCGATAGAAGTCAATTGCATAAACTCAAAGTCTTCAGCAAATGATAAGTTTGATTTCTAAGCAATATCAAGAAAGCCCAAACTCATTGAACCGCTAATCCTTTCGGGGTTCTAAATAATGGTGAGTGTAAACAAATGATAAGCATTAGCCTCACTTATGTAAATAGGCATATTTCGTTTTCATTTTGAGACTGACAGCAAGAAAATCCTATTCACCGCTAAATTATCTGAATTCAAGAAGAATGCTGGATGTTTACAGTTGTGAGATAAATATGCCAGTTCAGCTCCAGACGTTATCACGCGTATTCTCGATGGACTTCAGCGAAACTGGGAAAGGTCTAACACATTCAATAGTGAGGTGGTTAATGGAGTACCTCATGCTGATATTCCATGGTCCCTCCTGTTTCGCTAAAGCCTTGCCGTGTGATGCGCGCGATAGCGGCGGAGCAAAACTGGTGTACTGAAAAGGTCAAAGGGGTCGAAATCTTGATTATACACCCGTGTTGACGTCAGTTTACAAACCCGCGTCGTATACGTAAAGAATAATTTTGCGCTGTCAGCAATTAGACTGCTCATCGATAGTGTCGGAGTGTGAGGGGTCCTCCGCAAAACGCAATGTTGTAGAACCCTCTTTTACCGGAGTGTAAGATGGCCTCCGAATAATTAACATCTTTTATATTTTTATTCCTTTTTAATTTTTTTTATGGTGAAGGCAAATTTATATAATAATTGCATTGTGAGTGTGAAAACATTGGGAAAACATTTTATTGTGCTACGCCAATTAGCAGCTTCTGCATTTGCACCTCGTCGACGTCCAAGTAAGTGCGGGTGGCAAGGCGATGGCTTTACCGAAGCAGCTAAGGTTAATTTCCAGTGACTTGTAATGGTGTGCAGAAAAGGATCGATATTTTGTAGGCTATTATCACTGAACCACTGGTGTGTTATTTGCACTCCATGGGCCTTCATTTTAATGCGATGTCCAGAGCATTCATAAGTTGGTAATGCAGAGTACCGTTCAAGAGGAATTTAGTAGGCTTATCGGAGCAATGGGCATTGCATTGTTTCTTCTGAGGGTCCACAAGTGACAAGAATTGCTGAGATTCGCAAGTTACCGTTACTGTAGCTTTCGCTGGTGACTTGCAAATGGTTGTAAAGTGAGCACCTAGTGTGCAGTCGTAGCATCCTGTAAGTTTTGATATTTTGAAGCCACATTCTTGGTTATAATAAGTTCTGCTACCACATCTTGTAGCATCTTTGACTCAATTCGTAGGGCCATTTCCTCCTCGTTGGACGTTGCAACGATGTTCCCCTCGCAAACATTTATATTTGCGTGGGGTGTTTGTAGAGGTACCGTGCTTTGTGGGTTGTCACAAAGTTTTGGTACGAATCGTGCGGACACTGACTATGTGGGCGAATTTCCATTTGCACTGAATTATATTGGAACAGGTAGAGAACTCTCGCATTGCTTGAGTAGGTGTGTTGCATGCGATTGCAATTCGGAAATTAGGTGCCAAGAAATATGCTTTATCTTTGTGTATTTGCAAAGGCACTCGTTTTTCTAAGATTATACATGGTCTTTGTATTTTTTTTGCATGGTTATTATTATGTTGAATCAATGTCAATCTATCAATGTTAGTAGCCACATATGGCGTAAATGATTGCTCAACTTTTTCTGTTCGATTTCCTATGGAGTTACTTCGATCTCTAATTTGACCGTAGTGGTCCAGTGAGGACACTGTGTGATTTCAAATATTCGATCTGATATTGGTCTATGAGCAATTTTATAGAACCAGAAACTAGGACCACATCCGCAGAAGATTCCTCCGCAACTGTTCATACAGCCGGTAGCCAGGATATTTTGAAGCTTGCCCTCAATTCATGAACTGTTTCATTCTGCTTAATCGTTTCACACTTGTTGTTCTGACATGACCGTGTTGTGGCGCAGCGTTTAGTGTGGTAAAGCGACAATTTTGTTGGTCTTGTGAGAAACTCCGTGGCTTTCGAGCTTTTAAAGTCAATGGACTTCTTGGTGAATTTTGCTGATCCAACGGTTCTGTTACCGTGCAAGATTTCAATGCATAGCTCCGACTGGAGCCTGTTGAATAGAAGTTCTCTGCTACATTCTAGATGGCATTGATTTTTCTCATTCGCACACGAGGTCAGCTGAGTGGCGCATGAAACCGTGTTGAGAAGTGCCTGTGGTGGAAATCAGAAATATTGGGGTACACAAAACGAGTAGCGTACTAGGAAGTGGTGTCAGTTCGAAACTGCAGACTGGTGCTGTTGGGATCTCTGGTTCGTTCCTTTCTGATTTATAATAGCAGCTGTTCTACGAGACTTAAGCAAATAAGCTTATGTCTCGTAGAACAGCTGGTCTGATTGATCTTTATGGCAATCCATATTGCGCCCATGATCACTGCTTATGATGATATAAATTTGGCGACAAAGCTGAGGGAATTCTGTGGCTCAACTGGCCAGCAATGGGAGTAATAATAATAAACTTATTTGAGACGAAATATTGATGTTCGCAGAACTTTGGTCTGTTGCAGAGCCGTTGTTCTTGTACCCCATTACTGATGAGTGCGCAGGCGCATTTTGGCTCCTTTTTCAGTTGGAGATATGGGTAGGAAGTGTTTGACATAACATGTTGTATTGTTCATCGATTGGCAACCGTTATCGATGCATAACTCGAACCAGCCCTTCAATGGCGGCACACCAACTACTCCGTTCGAACAAGATGTTATAGTAGAGTCATTGCTCGCAAGGGTTGGGCTCATCATTGCACACAATACCGTAAGGAAGTATCAAAGATGAAGACGAGGAGATCGCGGCACTTCCCTGGTTTTAATCACTATCCATGCTCCGAAGAAAGTCATGAGCACGCGTTATCGATGCTCTAGTAAGAATTTGCCTGATTTGTGGTGCAATCTTTTGTGCCGGTCACTCATTTTGAACTCTGTAGGCAATTTTTCATTGGTTTTTCTACAATTTGTTCGCCAATCGCGGGTTTCTCGGATACGCTGCGAATTTCATGAGGGAAAATCTTGTTTTATGGTCTCTAAATGATCCTGTGATTAGGCATCAATATTTTCGCTGACCTAACGAAACCATCAGCTGAACCAATTATTTCGATTACTCTGCCGTAGGGCCAGTTTCCTCTGGGCATGAAGTCTTGCTCCATTAACACGACTCGCTCCAATCTCAAGGGCGTGATTCTTGTGAAGTCCAAGGCGGTTTTCAGATGGTGCTTTGTGCACTTCTCTTAGTAGTGTGAGGTATTCGTATCTCCAGCATTCCCAGAATTTGTCTGATATTGCTTCAGAAAAGCGCATTGCTTCCACGGCTTGCTCTCTTGATTGAATAAGTTCAGGATCATAGGGTGGATCATTAATGTTCTCAAGAGTTTCCTCCTTCCGGAAGGGAAACCTTGACATTCTTTTCAAGAAAATCTATTAGACGTAGAGGAATTGTTGTAACATCGTCCAGATTTTGTTTTATTAGAGGTCTCGTATTGAGAATTGCTTCTATTTTTGCCGTTACCGTGGACATCTCAGTAAAGCTCAACTTTTTACGTCCCACTGATATATTCAGTGCCTTTTTTACAGATGCCACGAGTCTCTCCCAAACGCCACTCATCCATGGAGACGCTGGTGGATTGAATATCCATTTAATTCCTGTAGTCGCACAATAGGACATCAGAGAAGTTCTTGATAATTCGTCATTTTCTCAAACATTGTGACCACCTGAAGGAATCGCACAAAACTGTTTAGAAATGCGCTCGTTGTCATATTTTCCACAACTTCGAGATGGACCGCTCTAGTTTGTCAGGCAGGTGTATAATGCTACATACATTTTTTCCTGTGCTTTTGAAGTAAACGGTCCCATGAAATCTCATCCTGTGTTCTGGAATGGTGTTGATGCGATTACTCTGTCTGTGGAAAGAGCAGGCATGATAGGGGCAACCAATGGTGGCCCTTGATATTTTTTGCAAGTTACGCAATTCTTCAAATACTTTTCAAATGCACTTGAAGCCCGCCAGAATCTCTGGCGCGCGATGGTTAGCACTTACAAAGAACATTTTTTGGGTGTCATTTTTTCGAACGTTTGTGATTGAATAATGATTCTGTGGCAGTAAGTAAGTTGCTCATATAAATATGAATGCTTTTCGTTGTTTTTTATATGTAGGAATAGGCATGCAGGAAATAGAAGGTAGTGGACAAGAACGAAAGTTCCGCACGCCACGAAAACCACCATTAGTTTTGATTTTGAGAAACGGTTTCGCATTGAGAAAATAGCTGTGGATAGCCTCGCACAGCACTTTGGATTGGGCAACTTTTGGTTCTTACGGAAGGAACTCCTTGCTTTCAACATCGCAAATAGACGGAGCGCATGCACGGAAATTAGGTAAGGCTACGATGACCTGACACCTCGTCGCCCTCGTCACCTCGCACATATTTTCACCCCTTCTGGCTAAAGCTGGCTAAAAAGGTTGCGCCGACCTGACCTGTCCTCTTCCCCTTCTCAAAGGGAAAATGAGAGGTGCGAACAGGCTATGGTGGCGAGGTGTGAACGTTCAAAGGTTTCTGATTTCGATATACAAGGGTGCGGCATTAAATATGCCCGGTGACAAAATAAATTTGCTCTATTTTCAAAAGTTTCAATCGAAATTGGATATAAACAATCATAACATTTATACATATCATTACAAACAAAAAATTACAATATCACTCAATATGGCCTCCTTTGGACTTGATAACTTCCTTGAGACGGGCCGGATACGCTTCTACTGCTGCCCGGATGACATCCTGCGGAATTTCATCCCACGCTTTTCGTAGAGCACGTTTCAGCGATCCAATCGAATTGTGTTTTCTAGCGCAAGCCTTCTGCTCCAAGATCGACCAAATCGAGTAGTCCATCACATTCAAATCGGGGGAATTAGCGGGCCAGTCTTCTGCTGCTATGAAGTTGGGCAAGTTGGCTCGGCACCACTTCTGCACAAAAACCGATCTGTGAGCTGGCGCACCGTCTTGCTGGAAAATCCAATCACTCCCAGGAGTCCAGTTGACCACGACCTTCTTCAAAATTTCTTCGAGGTAGTAACTGGCGTCAATTTTCAGCCCCATTTCCACGAAAACCAATGGAGTGCGCGAATCAGCAGATACTCCTGCCCAAACCATTACCGATGCAGGATGTGAACTTCGAGTGACTGTTCTTCCGGCTCTGTCAGCTTCTTCGGATGTCCTAGAGAGCACACGAGAGTTTTGGCGGTTGAATACCTGCTCGATCGTGAAAACTTTTTCGTCGGTGAAGAGAGTCTTCAAATGCGCACCGTTTGCGGCCCTCTCCAAGAGCTTTCTGCATTTTTCCACTCTACTTTTCTTCTGAGCGTCCGAGAGAGCCTGTCTTTTTTGGAGCTTGTAAGAGTGCATCCCAAGTTTGTTGTGCACTACTCTTCTCATCGTTCGCTCTGATACTTGCAAATCCTTAGCCATCTTCCTCATGCTCCTTGCCGGGTTGCGGTGAATTCTTTTCCTGACCACTTTTACGAGTCGATTCGTAGCCACCGAGGCTGGACGACCTCCACGAGGAAGATCATCAACTGTGCCTCGCTTTAAAGTCCTATGGACGGTCTGGCGATGCATTTTGAGTATACGGCATATCTCGGCAGGAGTATGACCGGCGGCGTGAAGGGCAAGAATTGCAGCTCGATTCGGATGAGGTGACACCATTAAACAATGAAGAGTTATCAAAGCACAAGACCGGGGATTTATATACAGAGAAATCTGGCGAATTTTACCATGCAGTCAAGGGACTCGCTCAATGTTTTGTTACTGTGCTTTTTTCAGAACATTTTTGTCACCATATTTATGCCGCACCCTGTACAAGTGCGCATGAGTCTGTTCTGTCGCCAAAGTTTGGAGATCAGTACTTTGAGAGAGTTTCCGGTAGGTAAGTTCGTACGTTTGCAGCATAACCTAGGGAACTTGCTTATCTGTTACAGCAGTGGAAGGCATCCTCCCTGAATGAGGATCTGCTAAGGGAAGCAGCCTTTACCGTCACCTTTTCAACGCACATTCGTATCCTAAGGACGACATAGAGCGCCTGAAAAAGGCAGAAACGTGCCTTAAAAGTGCTTTCAGCTACCCGTGAAGCGCATACCTGTGACGTATGTGGGCTAGCCTATTCAACAAAAGAAACGCTCGCAAGACACAAAAGGGAGAAGGGTCACAATGCCGAATCAAAGCTATATTTATCGTGTCCGTTATGTGAGCAGCAGGTTACGGTAAGATTTCACTTTCAGGACCATTGGGGCTTGATCAACCAATGTAATGAAGATCATGCTATTCTGGAGATTCAGTATGTCATGGAAACGGCCACATTCGACGATAGGCCAAGTTCGAAGAAGGTGCCGAGCCTAGGTTTCATTTTTTTTGCTCCCTGAATTTGCTGAAGTCAACTTTAGGAATGGAAACTCAGCTTGAGAACGACTTAGTCATGAGAATCGCGACAGTCTGTCGCAGGAAACTTTTGGCTGAATTGGTAACGTACATGCGATGCAGCCGTGCGAGGCCGGATCGCGCTTACCTAAACATCGGACGCCCAGGTTCTAAAAAGGTTATCGCCTGCTGCACTGCATTTATGAAGGTTTCTGCTCCTTTACCCTTTCGAACATTCATTCATTCACGTAGAATATTTAGGTCACTGAAACTGGAAATAACATCAAAGTGAAGTTTTGCCGCAGTCACTGCGGTCACGAAATGGAACCTGCTGATTTATCCATTGATTCAAAAGCTGAGCAGTACATAGCATCGCTCGTAAAGGGAGGATTCAGACCGCACCAGATCTTGAAAAAAATTTGTGCCGAATGTCGCGAGAACGACAGCCATTTATGCCTGTACTATGCTTCGTACAGTGACATAAGGTGATATTTTCGGTTATGTTACTTCTCCTAAGCATCAATAACTATTTCTCAGACTTATTGGCATCCGAAACAAGGTGGAGCCGTCCCAAAAAGATGATGTGGATATATATCGGTGGAGATGCGAGTTCAGGAAAAGGCAGCAGATGATGGAATAAGGGTCTATACCCCGGTACTCAACGTCACCGATGAAGGTTTTAGCCTTGGTAAGAACGGGATTTGAGTACGGTTCAAGAAATCGTTGACTGCTCTACGTAATTGCTTTTCAGTGACAATA